TAAGCATGGGTCGCCTGTAACTAGCAGGTACAGGTCTAGTCTGCACACGAGGGTGAATTGGTATGAGCTTGCTTCTCGATGTTATCTACATCAAGATTGCCACAGGTCGTGTGATGCCCAGAACATTATGGCAAAGTGGCGTCCTCTCCGTAACCATTGTAGTCGCAGGGAAATGTCCACTAAGATGAACATAAAAGCTAATCTCCAAGCAGATTCTAGCGGGCAATAGCAGCAGTGTCAACTGGCCACCTGTAACCATTGGTCGCCTGTAACTAGCATGTACTGGTCGTTCACTTTGGTAGATCGTATGCAATCAGAGACGGCTCTGCAGGCAATTCAGGGCTATTTTAGTCCTACTTTGAACTTTGATGTGATCTGCACTACATCCGATATACGTCAGAATCTGACCATGACCTTGTGCATAATGACCAGGATATTCTCTCTTCTCCCATGTGTAATTCCACATGAATGGTCAAACGTTTAAGACGGCAGCCTTAAAGAGTATTTAAAGTCCATTTCCATCGTGTAGGCCCAACGATAAAGATGCAACTTACACTTTGCCATTTCGTTACAAGAAGAGCAGAGGGTTAATGGAAATGAATTGGCCGGTAGAAGCCGGGAGATTCGAATATAATAAAGGGTTAATGCACCGCCCCGAGGTGTATATGGTGTCATAAATGCATGGTCAGCTGCTATAACCACCGAATAAACCACCGAGTGAGCGAAGCGAACGAGGTGGTTTATGAGGTGGTTATAGCAGCTGACCATGCATTATGACACCATATACACCGAGGAAAAGGCGGTGCATTAACGTTATTATCATATAGCCTATCCAAACTGACACAATGAATCAACACAATTCCTGTTCAAAACATTAAACCTTTAATATTTACATAACAATACATTCCAAAATATTATAATCATGGTTTGTACTTTAAAATAAATATGGAGATCATTTTACAATAAATATAGTTTACAACAAAAGTCTTGTTTATTCATTTTCCACTACACCCACAGGATGTTGATAATAATACTGACTTCTCCGAGACTCCAGCTACCAATAACATATTGGCACACTTATCAACATTATATTCTAAATCAGAGAATTTGCTGTAAAATTCCAGTTCAGTACAGGGCTGTTATAAATTTGGCAGCCTGTCGATATTACAGTAACAATAACATTAGCAAAACAAATGTAATTCTATTCCTGCTAATCACTTGAAAAAGAACACACCCACCTTTCAAAAGCTTCACTCCCCACTTGGTTGCCCTTTCAGTAGTTTTTTCAACTCGCCCCTCCTCTATCTCGCCAAGTTGTTGTTCGTTCAGACACGCGAAACGCACCCTGCTGACCTCTGTCTCCGGTGTAGCTTCCAGCGTCTGTTCCTCGACCTCCATGGGTCCAAATATCTCATCTAAATCCGCGTCTGTTATCTCTTCCATGTAGAAATTAGGCAAAATCTCCATGACACAAGAAGGCAAGATGGCGGACCAAAAAAAATAAATCGTCTGATCCCTGGTCTGATTCAGTCAGGTGATGTGGGCGATACCACTTTTTGTAGGGGTGTCAAAATAAGTATGGTTTTTGCTCTCCCGTTCAAATTCTATCTATTTACATATACATTTCATACTCACACACATTTTAGTTTATATGAAGCTTAAAAAAAAACATAATTTTGTCTGACCAGGAAACTGCTATGAATATTAACAGAAAGAGCTGTGTACCCCTATATCATTATGGTTTCACCCATGGTTTATGGAGAATAACGCACGGCTGAGCCATGGTTTATCGGAGAATAAAGCACGGGTAACGGAGGCCTCTGATTGGTCTACGCCACCCGGCTATATGATAATTCCAGGTAAGCCTCGGCTATTTCTGTTCTCGCCCTTCGTGCTCCAGAATATTGTATTTGAACGCAGGACTGACCAGTATACGTAGTACTCACTGTAGTGTTATATAATTAGTGTTTGCTGTAGGACTAAAAATATGCCTCTCTGGTGCATGACAAAAAGTCATTCGACACACACACATTTCTAAAACAATGCCAAAGTAAGTAAAAGTCAACACCTACTTAGAAAAATCCTATTTGTATACACACTGACAAAGCAAACAAGTCCATCAAAATAATCACGTTTCCTGTCGGCTCACAAATTGGACGGATGTTCCCCCATCCGTAACCCTCTCCTATTGGTCCCCACTTCTTACCCCCTACCTACCCTCCGACTCATCTTCATTCGTCGTCGCCACTTCGTGCGCACGACTACCCTACCCATGTGTCTGTCCAGTTTGTGAATAGACAGGAAACTTAGTTCTCTTCGGAGTTTACGAAGAAGAGAAGTTGTGTGTTTTCTGAAATATTGCATGATCTATAAAAACTGCCACGGAATAAAAAAAAAACATCGGGCACCATGCCCCATACAAGCAGACAACATGCTATAACCCATTACCAACGCAGTAAAAAAAGGGCCCGTGAGTTACAACAACTGCGAATTTACGGACACAACTGACATACAATACTCCATCAAAGGTCATTGACCTCCTTCTCGGAGTACACCAACGGTCTTATAAGTACATCTACCACTTCTATATGACGTCAGTGGACGAAATTTTGCGGAAAGTTGATGGCGTACTTCTTCCCTAGGCTACATTTATCACACTGAAACTCATGCTTCCTCGGCCAGACCTGTCAACGGCGCCGTCATGTTATCACGCTGAATTGATTCATTTCAGCGGAACAGTCCGTCACAAATAATCCATCCCACAGGACCTAATTTGGGAGAAGAGAAGTTATCGCACAGAGCTGAATGTTCCGTGAGGGAGGAACCACGGTGAGAAGCATTGGAGGCATGAATCATAGTGAGGAAACTCGAGGTGACAGAATTGGAAGCAATGGCTTGAATATTCATTCTTCCGGAAGGGATCCTACGGCCTACGCGGAACTGCAGTCGGCCTTCACTTTCTTAGAACTCATTTGCAATTCGAGTTACAGTACATTACACAAGAAAGTAGCTGGGAATAGTAAATTCAATAAAGGGGTATTATGTAACATGCATAAAAATGTGAACATCTCTCTCTCTCTC